GGACCTGAGGGCACAAGTGGCCCCTAATGGCCTTGCCCGTTCTACCCTGAGCCTCTCCCAGCCCTATCCATGGCCCAGCAGCCCCATTTCAATCCAGCCCAGGACTGTCAGCCTCTGCCCCAGCTATGCCTGCCTTGGTAGGATGTTGGACTCCAGCCCTGCCCTGCTGGGCTGGACCTGTGCATTGGTGTCCCAGCTTGACATTGGACCTTCCTCCCTGTGAGCCTGCCTGACATTTGGCTGAACGGGGCTGCCATCTCCAGGCCTGCCCTGTGCACCTTGTTCATGAATTGTGGGATGGGGCCATGAATAATGAAGGTTCTGCCGTGCCAGTCATGTTACTGCATTCAGTAATCCATACCAGTAGGAGCAGCCAGCCTTCAGTGCTCCCTGACTAATAACCTAATATTTAAAAGTTGGGAATTGTTGCTGCAATGAGAAAGGAGACAAAATGCAAAACTGAATGGAGTTGAATGCAAATATTAATTTTGCTACCTTGAGCTACTGACACGTACCTAGCTTTCAGCTATGGCTCCCCACAGTCTTGCTAAATCTTTTAAATGCCTAATTTGACAATTTTTCTTCCCTTTTTGGTACAATCTGAAGGTAACTGCTTCACCTATTGCATTAACACAGGGCAAAGCATAGGCCCTCTGGCATTGCTGGCATCCTCTGCTGATTTCATCTCTCTGTTTTTTTTCTATATCCCACACTCAATAACTAGAGTGGAATCAGTCATCTCAATGTTATGTGCTAAGTCTCAAGTGGAAGTGAGATAAAACTCCTTCAATCAAAATGCTTCTTGTGACGTTCCTGGAACAAAGCTGCAAAGCTCCAGCACCCACCCAAGAGGTGATTTGTTAATATAGATGGAGGTAGAGCAGTAACTCTCTTTATATCCTAGCATATCCTCCACAATCCTTAGGGATCTGATAAAATACCATCTACTTTCTAAAATACTATTTTTTACTTCCTTAAAAAGGGTAGTCTTGGCTAATGTACTCAGAACAGGGTAAGAATGACAACTTGATGTGGGCAAAAGCACTGTATACAATCCAAAATAACCAGATGTTAATATAATGGACAGCCAGGGATGGTGCACCTCATTTGGAGATAAAACCACTGTGTGTCTTGGTGTTTAAACTCGGCAGCCCAGCTGTGAAACATACTTGAAATCTCCATTGTCTACTGGGTTTCTAAGAAGCTTTGGAAAGTGTGTGAGAATGAATTAAGGAAAGGTGTTAATTTAAGCTGGGTTTCCTGACTAGTAATGCGAGTAGACAGACCCTCAGGTGCCACCATGAACTCCAATGCTTCCATTAATTCTTTCTTGCACTTCTGTTTTCCTTTTGTTCTTGTCCCCAGTGGAATATTGCAATGCTATTTAGACTGTCCAGCAGTGCCACTTTCCTGAATGGGAACCTGGAGGAGGTGGCTGAAGTGCTTTCAGTTATGACCTTGATACTATGTAATTACTAAAGCTAATACCTGCTTGGTGGTTTTCTTTTTCATGTTGGTTGGTAACATTACTGTCTACTTTTAACCCTTTCACTGTGTTTTTTTCTTAACCTAAGAATGTCTTATCTGATTTACAGGCAGTGATTCTGGAAGGCACGCAGTTTTATGTTACAGATAGTAAGTGAATAACCAAAATTGAACGTAAATGAACACCTTCTAAGTGGTTGCCAAGGATGTGGAGAAACTTGGGAAACTAGTCTTCTAAGAGGCTGTTTAAAAGTGAGCTTTAGACATAAATCTGGAGAAATGTTTGTTTTTGTGATGTCCGGAAAGTAGCCTCGGGATGTGCTTTGATCCTGAAGCTACTTTTAGGACACAGAAGAAACAAACAGCTTTGGGATCAAAACAGATCCCGTGTAAGGAGAATCTTTCTTTCCCTTTGTATTTGCAATTAGTTTGAATGCTTTTTAATGCTTAGACTATGATACCTGTTAGCAGTGACTGTCAGCAGCATTGTACTCACACCTCTGAAATAGAATAGTTTGGTTTCATGAGTGATATCAGCCTGAGCTTTTGGTGAAACATTTTAACACAGTCCAAAGCAAACCATGCCTTGTAAACAATTTACGTGACTAAGTAGCTTATATGAATGTTAGGACACTTGTATTCAGGCTGATCCCTTCTATCAGGAGTTATAGTAAGTTTGCTACAATAGAATGAGGTAAAAAAGGGTCCCTCAAATACTGGGCGCTGTGGAACAGCTTCTTTCCATGAACACTAGAGAGCCTAGAGCAGGTACATTCATGATATTGCTCTTGCAGTTATATTTCAAGTTAGGTGGAGTGAGTCTTGGTCTTCTTGTATGAGTGACATTTACTCTCACTCCTATAGCAGAAGTCCTTTAAATAACAAAAGCACATTTAGACTGGTTTTGATCACCTGAATTTAAAATAAAGCTCTTAAACTTTTTTTTTTTTTTTTTTTTTTTTTTCTCCTTCTTCTGTCTCTAAAATTGTAAGTGGGTTTCTGGTCTTTTTATTTTTTTTCTCTATAGGTGATTATTTTAGAAATGTTTTTAGGATAGAGCATGTAAGATTGTGACTGTCTGTCACGTTCTGAACTACTGAATATTTATAGATGTCTGTCACTGGAATATGGGCCTGGTTAAGTCTCTTTCATTTATTTTTAGTGAACTTTGGGCACTGCAGACACTAGAGTTAATTTAGCAAGTAAGCAAGTGGACAAATGTGGGAAGAGATTGTGTGCTGCTCATCTTTTCCAATTACATCAGCTATTCTCTCTCATATTTTTAAAACATCATTGCCAGAACAGCAGAGAGAGCCAAAAGTAACAATCTCAGGATATCTTTGACAGTTTAGCAGGAGCCCTGTGGGATTCAGTAGGAGGTTTGCTTTACAAGTGATGGCACAAGTGAAGGAGCTTAGCTCCTTTCAGTGGGAGCCTTTTATTGCTTAGCAGTCTTTAGAATGATGCCTGGGGTTCAGTCTGTCCTCTAAGCAATATCTGGACGTTGTGCTGTAAGGGAGTAGGAGGCACCCACTCCCACCTGCACAAACTGTTCCTGCAAGCCTCAGACTGCTACAACCAGATGGTTAAAGGTGCCTAAACAGGGTAACTGGGGGGTGATGGGTTGGAGAGCTGGGGTGCTAGCCCCAGCATCACGTGTCTGAAACTGCTTAGCCCACTCATGGAGTAACCAGCCTGGGTGAAATTGCTGTGCTGGAGTCCCTACCACGCTGCATGCTCAGACCAAGCTGTGGTATTCCCCTTTCAAAATACAAATGTATACGGTTAGACCTAGAACTATTTCACCCTCCTTTGGCACCAGCTGGGGGATAATTTTCATGGCTGATTCTCTGGAGCTGGCAGTTAGCTATGCAGGACGCGAATGCACTCTCTTTTCAGGCTTGCCTGCCTCCAACACAAATCCTCTTGCAGACTGTGTAACAAGTCGTTTACAAAAATGCAGCTCTATGGTCTTTTCCTTCTGCTCCTGACAAAGAGAAGTGAGCCCTTCTTGCAGACGGGATGGTTCCCGTGTGACTCAAGACAGTGTCGGGATGGGCTGGGGCATGCTGGGCTTTGCTGATGTAACAGGCTCCCTGCAATTTTCATTCAGATCTGGTTGGCTGAGAGCTGGCAGAAAGCCTCAGATACGCCTCCAACGCAGATGAGGTCATCTCTGCTTTTTTTTTTTTTTTTTTTTTTTTTGAGCTGCTCCAGAAAGTCTGCGGTGTCTGAACATTTAAGGTCATCATGCCAATTTGCACACCACCTTGTATCTCTGCATGCGGGAGCCCATTTCTCCATCTACTACACCCCTTCCCAGCACTATCACAGACCCCTCTCTCCCTTTAGAGGGAGAGGAGGAGCAAAGGGAAGATGAAATTACCGCAGTGGATTTTATAATTGACTCTTGCATCCTGATCAGAGGAAAGCATTTGCTGGAAAGATGTTGCAGGACTGCCCAGATCTAACACGAGTGTGAAGTAGCTCCAGGACAGAAGAAACTCCAGACCTTGCCACTAACAGTAGTGAAACTACTCGCCGTGCCCGGTCGCTTCATCCCTTCCCCGCCCTCCCACCGTGTGCCGCGCAGAGATGCATCCAGCCAGCAGAGGAAGGGGTAGGTCTCCCCGGCTGTCAGTCATCAAGGGCTGCCCGGCCCGGGACGAGCTGATCCCGAAATAAGGACTCGCCCTGGCGGACAGCAGAGCGCTGGGAAGCGCCCGGAACCGCACCGTGCCGGGAAGCGTCGCCCGCTCGGCATCCTCTTCTCTCTGGAGCCGCTGATCCCTCGCTACCTCCTTCAGAGAACTGCCTGTTAACTTCGGCGCCGAGGCCGGGTCTGCCCGCCCGGCTGCGGGCAGGATGGTGGCTATACCATCCCCACTCTGCCCTGGGGGCAGCCAGCCCGTTCCTCTTTTTCGTCCCACCGCCGAACCGCGCGCTGGAGCCACTGTGGCACCGTCGCTTCTCCACGTCCTGCCGGGGACGGAGAGCCCGCTCCGGAGCGCCTGAGCGCGGGCCGAGCCCCAGCACCGCGGACAGCTCCCAGCGGACAGGTGCGCCCGGCTCCGTGCCTCGCAGCCGCCGCTCGTTGCGTTCTACAGCCGCGTTGTAGCAGCGCGCTGCTCTGCCGAGGACGCCGGGGCCCCCCCCAGTCACGGTGCTGCCCACGGCGGTAGAAGAAGGTTTATCTCCGGGCTCGGAGGCTGTCTTCTGTAGATTGGGATTTACGAGCCTGACTGCTGCTTGGTTACACAAGTCTATGGACTCCAAGGTGTGCTACTGAGTTAGAAAGAAATCTGGGATCTGTCACGCTGTGGAAGGGTAAAAGCAACCCTATAGAGCCAGCAAAACAAGCCCAAACCTCCCTACAACCAACTTTACCCCCCACCTACTGACCATAAGCATTTCTCCTCCCTTCATTCTTCTTCCTTTGGAGGCTGTAGGATGAGGCATTTCCTCTGTCTGTCTCGGGGTAAAAGGATACCCTAGGGGCAGCAACACACATCTGGCAGGGATTGAAAGGTTTAAATCCAGCCTCCACGGCAATCAACAATGGCCAATGAACCAGTGATTCTGAATGTGTATGACATGGTGAGTACCAAACAGTTTTGATTATGGGGAGCAGTGGGGCTGGGTGGGAGCTTATGCTTGGAGGCGGACACTGTATGAAGAGAAGCCCAGCACAGTTCCTCAGGGAGGATGATATCCACCCTCCTTCAGCAATCTCTTCATCTAGGCATGTCATGTTCTGGCTGTCAGAGATGATGCTGACCATGGCATTTTTCTTTGAAACGTTTAGCATATTGTGCCAAACTACAAGTAAAACTGTACTGGATTTTCTGCAGAATTTTTCAGGAGCAGCAGTGGGTGAGGGGAGGACTTTTTAATTTCCAGTGTCCCAGTTAAGGAAGGACATATGATCACCTCTCTCTCTTTGCAGGAGCCACTTGTCATTTAATTTTGAGAGATCGTGCACTACCAGGCTGTGGAAAGAGGGTTGGGATGTCATCCAGGGATGAGAAGCATCTGTGGAATTGTAGTAGGGATGTTGTTTCCAGGTTAATAGTAATCTGAATCAATCCCTTATGCATGAGATCATAGTTAATCATAGTCTCTGAAGGTTAATTGCAGAAGAAGGAGTAAAAAAAAAAAAAAAAGTCAGAACTGGTGAAGTTTCAGCATAGGGAGGAGCATAGGGACATGCTCCTTGGAAATATTTTTTGGAAGTTCATAGTGTAGCAAGTTGATTCTCTTGCTCTGTTCTTGAATAGATTGTAATTGGAAACTACCTGTGCTGAAAAATCAGAAAATCTGAATCCTATCCTTGGCACAAAGACCTAAAGAGAAGATGGCTTGGCTCAACCTGTTTTTCTCTCTGACTTAGCACAGGCTTAGGATAAGCATGTTCGGATAAGGAACATTTTGATAGTGATTTACTTCCTCCCTGCATTTGTTAGTGGGCTGAAAGACAATAAATACTTTTCCGGAGAGTAGCCACCAAAGAGCAAAGAGTAGGCTCTGGTAAATGCCAAGCATCTTTTTATTGCAAAAATTAAGTAGTCTTTTGTTGGCTAGAAAAGCTGAGTTATTTCCTCATGGAAGGAGGGTGTGGTAAGGACCGTTTGGGTAGGATTGTGTCTGTGAAAGACAGTCTGAAAAGCACAACTAGAATAACTTGAAGCTGCCTCTACCAGAGCTACTATAGGCAAAATTGAGCAAGTTGGTGTAAAGTCTTTCCTTAAGACTTTGGTTTTGAATGCTTAATGGTCTATGATTCTATTCTACAGATGCTTGGCAGCTTAAACTGTGAACTTTCCCAAGCTGTTCTTCAAGCAAGGGCTGGTAACCCAAGTATCTGTTGGCAAGTTCTTGGTAATCAGAGGCCAATATTGCAAATGTCAAAGAGTTCCTAGCTAATAATTTGAAGAAGGTAAAGGGGTTGTGTTGCTCTTCTGTTTATGCACTATCTTCCATTTTTTTTTTTACTTTGTTCTGCTGAAGGCTGTGGTCTAAAGTTTCTCAGCCACTATTGAGCTGTTCCAAACCAGTGATATTTTTCTACTGAGCTGAAAAAATGTGAATGCTGGACAAACTTTGTCTTTGCGTTTGTTTTTTAATGCCACTGACACTTAAGATGAAGCCCTTAGGAAGCTGGGGAAGAAGAAACTTGCTATTTATGGTCACTGTGTTCTGAGATTGGAAATCCAGGCACAGTGAACTGAATTGAGATCATTGGTTTAATTCACAATGACTTTTACTTCCTGGTAAGCCACAAAAACCTTCATGTGTCAGTACTAACTCCATAGGGTTAAGCACAAGTTAATACTCTGTACATAGGGACCATTCTATTTTCATGTTGCATCTGTTTGACTACCACTGAGTCACCTCCAGTTCAAATTCTGCATCATGATTATTGAGGCTACATGCTTTTCTATTGCTGCTATGATTTTAACACCATGGAGTTTGGAATGTAGCCATGCAAAATCTGCACTTTGTTACATTGTGGTGGGGAATTGCGGGGGAACTGGGAAATGAGCACATTTGTTTGAGTGGCTGTTGGAAAACTAGTCTTGAAGAAAAAAAGACAGCTGGGGTAACAATTAACTGGATGTAAAGCTCCGCTTTCCTGACAAGCATCATGACCCCTGTATGGCATCTGGAAGCACTTACACTGCAGGAAAGCTTACCCTTAGGGCAGAAGTTCAATTATGGGCTTTGTGCAGCCATGAAATACTCACTCTGTGTAGTCTCATGTATTCAAAGATTATAGCCATTTATCCTTTTACCCATTGGATAGTACCAGGCTTGAGAGAGAGGGGAAAGAAAAAAAAACAACAACAACAACAAAATCTTGTACTTAATAAGGTGCTTTGCAGAAATTACTGAAGCAGGTAAATCTATTTATGAGACTTGTTTTTTTTTCAGCATCAAAGAACTGAGCAAAAATCACTGGGCATTCCAAGTGTTCAGAATATCTATACCAAAAGCAATTTCTTAATCCCCCAGCGTCCAGGGTGATTATATCTTATTTACGTGTTACTAAAGAACTTCTACACACCTGTACATGCTTGCAAAAAGAGAGGAAGGGAGAGCTTTGCAGGAGTATTTTAAAGAGTATACAGGATGCTGAAGTCTACTTTAAGTGTGCGTGTGAATGCAGAATAATACAGATCAGGGGTTAGGTCATGAATAGATCTCATTCCCAGTTAGAATCTATCTCTCACATGGACTTAACATAGGCCAGCAGCTGTTTGGAAACCTACCAGAAATAACTGGGTCTGTAAGATCTGTGGCAGTTTGCTCTGATCAGCCCCTTATCACTTTACCTTTGGAAGTATAAATCACCAATTTTCTCCTGATAACTTGCAGCTCTCTTCCCTCCAACTCCCCCTGATAAGCTATTTATTGTAGATTATCTTACTTGGATCACAGGACTGATTTCCTTCAACAAGAATCTCACCCTTTTTTTTTCTGTCTTACTTTGAAATAGTTGACTAAATCATTGTAATATTAATAAATGTCACTTCTTTAAATCAGACACATGACTGAATGAAGAATGACTGCAGATATTGCCTGGGTTTAAATCTTAAAGCAAACTAGCTAAACATGTTCAACAAAAAATAATCCATTTGGCAGAGATTCAAGCTGGGGGCTCTTGTGATGTTTTCAACTTACTGCATAGCACAGTCATGCTACCAAATTTAAAGAAAATGTATTTATATCACTGCTGTCCTTCTTTTATTGCAGGTATAGTTGTTCTGAATTTCCACTGTCTTTGCAGCTGATAACACACAAAGCTTTCTGTTTGATCTGCTGGCATTTTTGCTTATGCTTTATGCCAGTGAAAATGAGACCCTGAGCTGTTTTGCAGAGAAAAATGGGAGCCCTGGTCAATCGGCAGTGTTGATGTAGCAACTGTTTGGATGAGAAGGATGAGTCTTTTTCTCTTCCTTGTCCCACTTTTATCCCATTGACATTGCTTATCATTCTTAGGTAAATAGCATTCAGGTTATAGTAGGCACAGTAGCTCTGAGATTTCTTCTTGTGACTTCTGACTTTAGAGAAGTACCAAAAAAATGTAATGATTTATAATGGCCTTCCCAAAGTCTTCCAGTCCTTTATATCCTATACATCATTTGCTATCTGAAGGGCTGATGGCTGTTAGCAAAGAGCAGCCCTGCAGAAGAGTAAATGGGCTTTCTCTTGCTTCACTGATCAATGGGTGACAGTGTTGTCATTTTGATTTCTCTATCACATCACTGAATGGTCCAGCTAAGTAGCCCTGACAGAAAGACCTCAGGATACCACTGGCCTTCTTGGTCAAAGTGCACATTTTCGGCTCACGGTCAGCCTGTTATCCATCAGGACACCTAGGTCCTTCTCTGCAGAGCTCCTTTCTGTCAGGTCAGTCCCTAATTGATGAATGCAATTATTCCTTCCCAGGTGTAGAACTTCCTCTTGTTAAGCCTCACAAGGTTTCCCTCTGCCTAACTCTCCAGCCTGTCTGGTGTGTCAGCCAAACTTCCCAGCTTTGTAGTATCAGCAAACTTGATGAGAGTGCAGTCTATTCCTTCATCCAGGTCACTGTTGAAGATGTTGTGTAAGACTGTACCCAGTGTTCCCCCTCGAGAACATTGCTAGCTACAGGCCTCCAGCTAGATTGGCTGCTGATCACAACCCTCTGAGCTCTGCTAGTCAGATATCTCGCTGTCCTCTCATTTGTTCCACACTTCCTAAGTTTATCTATGAGGATGTTGTGGGAGACAGTGTCAACAGCCTTGCTGAAGTCGAGGAATTCTCCTTAGCCAAGGGAAAATTACGTTCCATTCACTGTGACAGTAGAGTGGGCTATTAGTATTAGCTAAATGGACTGATATCCTATCTGCAAAGTGAGGGCTGAGGAAACACTGTGGAGGTACCAAAATAGCTCCTCACTCTGTGCAAATACAGGTGAATGAGCTGTGATGCTAGACAGTGACAGTACAGTTATTTGGGTACAAGTCCTAGCCTGTACTTTTTGTACCCTCTGTCCTATTGCCAGGGAGTGTGTGTGTCAAGGCAGAGGCTTTGCAAGTGGGTGCCTTCACTACAGAGAGAATGATGGGGGCAGAAGGTGGGGGGCTGACCTAGACTGTCCTTTCTCTGTTAGTGGTATTGCAACGTTTCAGTAGTAGGTAGTACCTACCTAAGTAGGTAGTAATAGTCTATCATTCTCCTCGGAAGAAGTGAAGTAGTTCTAGCTGTACCACTGGGGAACAGGGACCATGCTCTGTATAGCCAGTCAGCTTCTGATCTCCCAGCAGAAGCTGATCAGAAATTGATCGCAGCCTGTGAGCAGATCAGGTGAGGAGAAAAGCTTTGAAGAGGTTGCTTATTTCTGACTTTAGAAATGCCTTTCAGCTTTCCTAGGGAGCAAGGCTTGGCAGGATGGTGCTGTATCAGGAAGAGGAAGCAGTTTGGCTCTCTTAATTCAAGGAGGGAGGTAGGGAGGGGATTCTCAGACAAGCAGCTTGTGGTGGGGAAGGCTGCATGTGATGGTGTTCTACAGCAGATGCTGAGATAGCGTGAGAGTTGGATTTTGTATAATTTAT